TGCTTAAAGTTAAAAAAAACAAAAAAACCAAAAAAAACCCCTTTGCTTCCATTTGCAGCCGCACGTACACTTTCAGACAGGGACAGTTCCTTGTTCAATGCAGGCGGCCCACGGGGCTCCCAGAAGATTGAGAGCAGGCTAAAACAAGTGCCAAAACACACTCTGGGATCCAGCTGCCTCCCAGGTCTGGGGCTGAGCTCCTGGGCTGTATTTTCCACAGTGAACTGGCAGTCATAAATGTCAAGCCCTGATCAGCATAATCCCTTTAGCTCTTCCAGCTTAGTTCACGGCGACTAAGGGTGGTATCAGGAAGATTTCTGATTTTGGAAAAAATAAATAAATTGCTGAATTTGGACTGGCATAATAATTACTAGTGTTAGCATTCTATATGGCTTTTATCTCCAGCAGGTTCAAGATTACTTAAGCATTGGTGGGAATTAGATTTCTTTGTAATCAAGACAAAACACAATATTTCCGTGCCTTCTCTGACTGCTAAGTATGGTTATTTATCAGGTGGGGGAACTAACGAGAACGTATCTGGTAATAATGCCACAGGAAAAATAAATGAAAAAGTGAAACATCATGAAGACAGAGCTCTCTGGAAGCCTCTGTTTCAAAACCCCCTGCTACCTCTCTTGCCTCCATCAGGTCCTATGGCTTCAACCTTGAATAAAGGTCAGACCCATAATGCCTAGGTAGGATGCTCAGAGTCTCCAGAACTCAGAGAATTTATTTTTATAAATGAACATGGAGGAAAACTACACATAAACGAAGCACAACTGCATTTTTTAATAGCTTGAAAACTGTTCTAACCCTAACTAGTTCAGCTTTAGGTCATCATAGCTTCCTGGGCTCTCCCAATCCATGTGTATGCTTTCCTAAGCAAATTTTAGTGCCAAATATGTCGATTTTCTTAACTAAAATCATACTGAATAAAAAGCATTAAAGTGTGTGTGTATCTGTGTGTTGAAAGGGAGAGGAACGATTCTAAAGCAAACATTGAGAGATTGTTCGAGGACACAGCTTTCTTTGATAGCAACAGTTTTTGGTGCTTAAATAACTCAGGTAGGTCATACATGGACACCCTCTATCACCAAACTCCATCAACTTTGCAGAAGATGCAAAGCGCCCCTCACCTGCCAATCTCTACAGGTGTCAGCCTTGCACAAAAACATGACAACCAGCATCTCAGAAAGGAAAGAGAGCTGCCAATTCACCTACCTTGTATATTTCACAGACAGGAAATTTGAAAAGGCTGCAAGTCCCGAAGTTTGGTTGTTTACACCAATCCTGCCACTGATATGTTGCTGGGGCCTGCCACCTGTCAACTTTGTCCAACCTACCCAAAAAGGAAGCTGTAAGGGTGCATGGCCATTACAGTAGAATGTGGGATATTAAAATAAAAAATATTCCAGCTCTTTGATTTCCTCTGATTTTGTGGGTAATACAATAACCAGAATGAGATAGCTGAAACCAATAAAATCTGATTTATAGCATTAAAGGCAATCTTTATAGCACTTATTTATGGTACATTACATCTAAAATCCAATTTCACAGGCTGCTGTTTGAAACTTTCTGTTCAATCATAAATACACTACATACACTGTACCTCAGTGCCATAGAGTTAGATTACATAAATGTCTGTATCCCCAGAAGGTATTAAAATTCGGTTACTATGGTGGTGAGTGAGCTTGACAGTAATTTTCCTAACCAACTCTTCAACCAAAAAGATCCAGTCAGCACTTGATAAATACTGAAACTGCTAGCACTCCTATCATTAAACCAAAAAAAAAAATCATTGCTCTGATAAAATGGGATAATTGGCGGTGCTGAAGGATACTTGCGTTCACGTCGTGGGGTGCATTTTCAAGCCAATGAGCAAAAGTACTTTCTTGCACGACACAATCGGTATTAAGAAGAGACACATGGCTAAGTCTATACACGCTACTTTGGAAATATAACCTTAAGTGTCTACATTCATACACTTCAATGGAGAAGACTATATTCTGTTCAATTACTATAATCATTGTCAAAGAAGGGCAAAGAATACAATCTGACTTCCAGAGAACTGTCATTTGAACCTTAAGCAACTTCCCATTGGTTTAAAAAGGTTTTTATCTTAAAAAAAAAAATCAACTCTCCTTACACTTTGCTTGCCATGCATTAGATAAATGTAAACCGAGAGGCTGGAATATTTGCCTGACCTGACAAGCAAGCAAACTCTTGTTCTGTGATAGACTACATCTCTCAGCACTTAAATGTTGTTTCCTAAATATATTTCAACCTCATTGTCATCCAGAAATATGTACCACACATCCATCCCCTGGCTTATATGCTATGCTGGTAAGTCATTCTAGAATGCAATTCAGGATTCAAATGCAGATAACAAAAAATGGCAGAAACAGTGAATACCAAACAGCGTAATACCAAATGACATACACCTATTAAGCCTCCGGCACATGCCAAACGTTGCCCGAAGTCAGGAGTGCACTGGGATACAGATGGGCTTGAAGCTAATAAAATTTGAGGTCCTCCTTTAAAAAAAGAATACAGACTTCAAAACTTAATATTATTTAGAAGGGACTTGCACAGTGAAGGCCAGATACGTAAGCCTCATTGGCAACACGGTATAAGTATTTCTGGATCTTGATTTCCCCATATCATTTCTGATCCTCACAAAAGCTCGGCAAGGTCAGCATCATTCTTTAGATGAGGAGCCTGAGGGTTGGATGGCTCGCTCCAGATGACTGAGTTAGGAATCCGTTCATTGGCGTGCAGGCCCAAGTTTGTCTACCTTGAAACCCATGCACACTGTTCACACTGTCGCATTTCAGTTTAAGTTAATTGAGGCTTAGGCTGTGTCACCTGGAGTTCCCTGAGATGGGGTAGTGTTCTTTGTTGTTACAGCCCCCAGAGAATTCTCCAGAGCAAGGGAGGGAGTCAGCATAAATTAGAGTCACCTGGAGGGCTCATGAGCCACAGATTGTAGCCCCAGTCCAGAGTTTCTCATTCAGTAGGTCTGGGTAGGGTCTGAGAATTCCCTAGGTGATGTTGACGCTGCTGGTCCAGCACCATACTTTAAGCCACTGATGTAGTGAAACTGAGTTAACTCCAGCATTCAATTCATCCATTGCCTTCCTCCAGTGAAACCACAATGACTGTAGTTCAAGGGTACTTGAACCAACTCAGCTAAAATGGAGCTAAACCCCATCCCTTCATGAAAGACGTGGGCTGGAGAAACATAGCTGGAATCTAACAGATGAGAAGGAAAAACATTAGAGAAGAATTATGTTGGAAGAACAGATTGATTATTAAAATGCAATTCAACAAAGATAAACTCAATATATTTAAGTTAGCCTCAATGTAGCACAATTTAAAATTCTTAAGTAGCTGTAGTTAATGTAAACTCATATAAAGACTCTATTTTTTCTGTAAACTAATAGAAAAATAGAATCAATGAATACGGTGAGAAGCCAAGGAAAGAGAATCTCCAGGTAGGGGAGGAAAAAAAGGAAAACTAAGAGACTAAGGGCATGAAATGTCATTTGAAATTGAGTTAGTAGGGTTTAATCAAGGTATTTAAATGCATTCTACAATAGAGTACAACTTACATTCCGTATTTAAGCGAAATTCAATATAATAATGATGGACTTTTATTACAGGAAAGCTATTCAGTGATGCTTATGAAATGATTGTAGACAAATTATCTCTATGACATACTACAAAAGTCACATCCATAAATTAGATTAAGATGTCAGCACTAAGTATATTAAGGTTCAAAAGACTTCAGTTCACTCTGAACTCTTATGTCTCTTGAACATGTTTACGGGAAGAAGAGATGATCCTTTTGCCATTAGTATCTTGTGAATTATTCCATAGTAAGCATCCTGGGTACTTGTTCTTTGGTTGAAGTCTATGAGGATCTTTGTTTATTCAACAAAGAATTACTGACACTGACTAGGTGCCTAGGATACACAAACCAATCAGACACTGATTCAAAGAATTAGCCAACTACATTATTCTCTTTTTACTTTACTTAAAGAAAGGAAATAGAATTACTACAACTATTCAACAAGTCATCTCAAAGAAAAATAATTTGAGATTTGGGTTCATGGGATTTTTCTTCTGATGGGCGTGTGATCTATAGGAACAGATGGTCGGAGACCCATAGTTTTCTTACATAGTGATCTTTATATTGGAAAAAAGACTAACTTCTAAGAAATAATGTGAATATGGGCCCCTTGTTATAATAGATCTTTGCTTCCAGTTCTTAGGCAGGGCTTGTGCACACTGGCATTTACATAGGAATTGATTAGAGAATGGGAATTGGTGGCAATGCTGATAATGAGAAGAAATTAAGAGTTTTTCCAAATTAGAACACAGATTTTCAGAAAAGGAATCAGTGATTTTTCTGAGAAACTGATAATAAAATCTAGCCTTTGATCTAAGATGATATAAAAGAAAGTTCTACATTTTCCTAGAAAATGTACCGTCAGTGGCAATAAATCTTAGTTCCAACTTCTGTCAATTATCTAGTTTGTGGATCAGTGCACAAGAAAACAATGAATTCCCAACAATTATCATAGGATACTGATACCTTCACATACAAGAGATTCCATAAGAAAATAAATATATGCTCTACAATATCAACACTCGAAACCATTCTTGCTTTCTAAAAATGCCTTCTGTAAATTTATTTTTCACTCCACATTTCATAGGCAGATGGTTTAAGAAATACTCTTTAGCTAAATAAAATAAAATAAAATAAACCCCAAAACAAAAAAAGCTACTTTTTCTCACCAGGTCAACTGTATTTCGATTAATCCACAATATCTGGAAATAATTAATTTGATTCCCTCTTAAAGTTGTTAGCAGAAAAGTTTTATTCAGTATAATTGAGGGAAATTTCAAAATTCCTAACAGAAGCAGATCATTTAAATGATGCAACTGCCTTTTCCAAGTCTTTCAGGTCACATATATCAAAAGGTGTCAATGTAGGGGCGGGTATAGCTCAGTGGTAGAGTGTGTGTTTATCATACACGGGGTCCTGGGTTCAATCCCCAGTACCTCCTTTAAACAAACAAACAAACCTAATTATCTCCCCCCACGAAAAAGAAAGGCACCAGTGCCGATAGGACCCTAGCTTTTAGTAAGAGATGTTGGCCACCTGCAGAGTGCCTAGGATCCCCAAATAAGCTTCCCAGGTGTTATAAGGTCTTAAGACCTTCATGCTTCACCAAAACCTTCTAATGGATTCCTCTCATGGTTGCCTCTATTCTGTTTCATCTACTTTCAAGTTCACATCAAGTCTCAGTACTTTTAACTAGAAGAGGCCTTGGAGATGATTTAGTCTCTTCCCTTCCAAATTATTTTCAGGTATGATTAACTGAGACCCCTAGAAACGTCTTGTGATACGTCCAGGGTCTACATCCAAGTGATGAAAGGGCCAAGATTAATTGAAACCCTGGTCACATGACTCACTATCCATCAATGCTGCTCTCACTGTGCCACCTGATCAATGATCTTCCCTGTGTCCTGACACCTTCTCTGGAATTACATGCTCTCAACAGCTCTCTTAGTGCCTTGCATCAGGTCATTTGAAGAGCCGGTAAAAAGAGAAACAGGAATTTGTACGTGAAATTCTGAACTAGCTACCCTTTGTCTAACCTGCAGAACTCGTGTTAGGATCAACTAATACAATGCAGATAAAGTGATAAAGCACCAGGCCTTGTGCACTGTAAAATGTCATACAGATACAAGGAATTTTCAAGAACATAACACCTAAGATGTAGTTATATGAAAGTTTAGTAAAAAAAAAAATAAAAAAGAAAGAAAAAAGAAAAAAAAACCTAGACGTCTTGCCAAAGATGTATGGAATACCACAATGCCACATTTTACCCACAAATAAAATGATTGGATACATTTTAGAGACATAAATAAATGTTAAGAATAATCTTAGAGATGGAAACAATTCGGTCGCTTTGCAAAACTGTACCAAAGTGTCAATTCTAAGAGAAAGAAGTTAAATAAAACCATAATTCCACATTTTCATAATTAAAAGGAAATACATTTTAAGCCACCTTTAAATGATAACATTATTTCCTGTCAGCAATTTTATACATATGCAGTTCTGAGCCTTCAGTAGTCTTACAGCTATTTGCAGAGCTCATAAAAAATTGGATTCTCACAAATTAATAGACTTTTCTCCTCCCTGAAAGGCCAATTTGAACAAAGATTCACAACATGGAAAGTTTTTGTTATTCATGCTTTTTTTCTGTCTGGAAAGACTTCACCCCACCATTACCACCAATACCCCTGCCTTTACGTTGACCCCTAGCCCTGAGTTAGCCTTGCAAATACTACCTCTTAAAACGCCTGACATCCTCTCCTCCACCGAGCCTTTCCTGTCACCTCTCCCTCTTTACCCAGTTCTCTGAACACACAGCTCTCTGCTCCTGCTGTACTCTGGTAATACATGTTTTACTTATTTACAAGTCTATCACAGCCCTGGACTTTGAACTCTGTAGACATAGGAGTACCTTACAGGTCTTTCTGCCCACAGCACCGCACAGTTCTTGGCACTTGTGATGGTCAATATAAGCTTGCTCCGTCTGATAAAGCTAACATTCCTCAGCATATATCTTTTTATTGACTGTTTCCCAGAGTGCAGTTAAAAGGAGGAAGTTTTAGAGACAAGCTTTCTTTTGATTAATTTGCTCCACTCAGCACATGACCATAAAAAAGCAGTCAAGTATTTAGGATTTAGTATTTACTGCTGAGTTTACAATAACAGTGTTTTAATAGAAAATGGAATCATGTAGGCAGATAAAAAAATACAGAGTACTGAAAAAAAAAGTGATATTCTCAAAAGAAATAGTATACGGTTGGTGAACAAAAACAAACTTTCTGATTTTTATCTTTCTCTATTTCCACTGGTTTCTGTACTACTATCTGCAAGTAATACAGCCAAAGGTGATTTATTCACTAATACTGAGCCCGGCCACATCCGAGGTGCCAGGGAAGCAGCACAACAGCAAACAAAATGAGGTCCCCGCTTTCAAAAGACAGCACGACTTCACAGTGGGGAGGGTTTGAGTCCAAGCTCCAGCACATACGAGCTGTGACATCTTATGTAATTCACTTAACCTCTCTGGGCTGCAAGTTCTTAGATTATAAAATGGAAATAATATTATCTATGTCATGGGTTGTTCTGAGTATTCAATGTGTTTATGTTTGTAAAGCTCTTTAAAGAGTGCCTGGAAAGTAGAAGTGCTTGGCAACATTTCAAGGTGTAAAATTCTATCAAAAAGAGAGACACAAAACACATACATATGTAATTGGTCGCGTGATAATGAGACAGGAGAAAAGGGGGAAGGGCACAACTGTTGAAGGAATGACACAGCCATTGAGGGCAGGACAAACTGGTTAGAACCAAGATGGCAGGAGATTCGACTTCCAGTAGCCCTTGAGCCTCATGGCGCACCCGCGGGCGCCATGTCAGTCCCTAGGCTGACTATAAGAGGTCAAAAGGCAGGCGGAGGGCCCAATTTCTGTAAATCCCTGCCCCTTCCCCCAAATAGTTGGAATAAACCTCCTACTCATTAGCATATGAAATTACCAAGCCTATACAAACTAACAACCCCACACCTCCCGGTCGCTCTCTCTTTCGCCTTCCGAGACGGCCTCCACTCTGTCTAGGGAATGTGTATCTGTCTAAATAAACTTGCTTTCACTTTACTATGCCTCGTTCTTGAATTCTTTCCTGCGTGAGGCAAGAACCTATTCTCTGGCAACAGTGATAACTGCTGTGAAGAAATTAAGGAGGGGAGAGAATAGAGGATGGAGGTCATTGCTCTCCCAGAATGTCTCTCTGATAAAGTAACTTTTGAGCAGAAATATGAATAAGTGAAGAAGGAGCTCTGAAAATTCTGGATCAGTATTTTGGGCAGAAGAACCAGGAAATGAATGGCCTCTGAGGAGGAAGACCGTTAGGGGCACTGAGGGAACCTCAGGGGACTGAGGAGAGGGGCTGAAGCAAAACCAGGGAGGAGACTGGCCAGAGCAGGAACAGAGGGAGTAAACCCGGAGGGCCCCGCAGCCCATAGGAAGGCCCACACACAGCAACCTCTGTGAAATGGGAAACCCCTGGATGGTTTAGAATGGAAGGGCGATGGCACTGGATTTTTGTGGTAAAGGGATGTCTGCGGCTGCAGGTGGAGACAAGACCCTAAGGGGAGGGGTCAAGGGTAAAAACAGGAAGATCAGTGAGGAAGCAACAGACTAGGTGAGAGATGATACGTCTTCAGTGAAGCTGGAGGAGAACATAAGAAGTGGCCAGGTTTGGGTTATTTCCTAGGTCAGTCCCCAGGATGTCCTGACTGAGAGATGCTAGTGGCAGAGAGGAGTCCAGGATGACTCCAAGGTTTGGGGTCCAAGCCTCTGCAACGATGAAGCTGCCATCAACTGAGAGAAAGTTTTATCCGACACAGGTCAGATCATTTTCCTTCTCAGAAACCCTCAATGCTTAACCTGTGAAGTAAGCCCAGTCCCCTGGGCCTTCCACTCAAGGTCCCGTCGACACCACAGTCTTGTCTCCATCATCCTTGTCCGTGTTCTTTCTGCTCCAGCCAAGCCCAATCCATTGCCGGTCCCCACACTTTCACAATTTGATGACTTTTTCATGATATTCTCTTTCCTGGGAGCACTTCCTCCTCTTGTGTGCCTAAGAAAAGGTCGCTTAATCCTTCAGTGATTACCTCTCATTTCCAGTTCTCTGATGAAGCCTCTGATATTTCTTGGCAGAAGGTTTTGGGTTTTGTACTTTTGTCACACATATTTCATTTCACCTTAAATTATTCTATGCAGTTGTTTGTTTTATCAAATAGACTGAAAGCTCTTTGAAGGTAGAGTTCATAACTTATCTAGGTCAGTAGATCTACAGTTCCTAACGCAGTACTCCCATTAAATAAACACGTTTATATCGAAATAAAACTAACATGCATATCTCTTCAAATACCAACCAAACATTCTCTTTAAAATATGTTAACTTTATAACGTTATTTTTTTATTCCATGAAATAAATATCTATGTAAAATCTTTTCTTCATTTATAAAATGTTGATAGGTAAATTGGAGCAGAAAAGAGAAGAAAGTTGTAATGAAAGGGAGACTTGATGTGTCTCTGGTTTTTTTGCCTTTGTTTTTAAGCCTGGTACATTTCTTTGGCTGATCCTGAAGGTAATACCCTTGAGCTTAACATGATAAGGTTAAAAATGCTTCTATGGTATCCCGGTATATGGCTCAGGCAAAATGCCTCAAGTTTTTATTTTTTCTTTTTCTTTTTTTCCTTTCCTTTCCTTTTTTTTTTTTTTTAGCACAGCTACAAACTTCTCTGGGGAACTGGCTATAACACAAAGATTTGGTACTATCTGTCTCTTTCATTTCAGAAAACTACAAATTATGTGCTTTGAGACATGAGGAAGTAAAACATTGATTGTACAGAACATTTCAGTAAAGTAGAAGGTATTCTAATTAACATGATCATCAACACAGGCCTTTTCATTGGAACAGATTATGTAATCGAACATTTTTATGGATTTTGATAAACATACTTTACTCTCTGTGGGATTTCAAGCTTCTGGTGTTAGTTCTCTTTTTTGGACACCGTGGTACATAATTAAAGCAAAGGAACAAAGGAGGAGCCCAACATTAACTTATCAGTCAGTTACTAGTGATTGATTGCATAAAGCAGTAACACCAATCCCTGACATTTCTGAGTGCTAATTAGACTAAATCATATGGGGGGCACTGGAAACCACTAAATGGCCTGAGAAATTTTCTAGCATTTTTGATAGTCATGCGTAAGCCTCATTCTCCATCCAAGATCTTTGCTTAAAAATTAGTAACTCTTCCTGAGGCAGGAAGAGCACAAACTTTAGTGTATGAAAACAGTTACCATTTATTTTGCCAGTGCCAGGCATGGAATTGAACACTTTGTATATAAAATCTTAATTTGCACAATAGCCCTCAGGGTAGCCAATTTTATCCCCAAATGCGTAAACTGAAACCTGGAG